CCTGGAGCAGCAGTTACAATAGTTCTAGTTCTCGAATCTCTTCACTTTGTGAGTCAACAATGGGCGACTGTCCGTCTCAGAGTAGGTTTGGATACAGTAGCTTTCCAGTGGTGACACCAACAACTGCCAGGACTTCCCTTGATCTGGATACAGGCTAAATAAAACCTATAACAGAAACATTTCACGAAAGACTTGTGGTTATGAGAGCAGTCGGATGTAAGTAACTGCGATGACAGTTGAAAACAGGGGTATGAAGACGGTGTTGCTTGCTGTAGCCCCAATTCACCAGCTTACTCTAAGTAGCTCCTCTGAGATATTAGAAAGAGAAAATTCTGATTCATTATACTATTTAATGCTACAATGGACCTTGATTATTGATAGGTGCCAATTTTAAAGATTAAATACCAAGCCATAAAATCAAATCATCGGAGGTGGGTACATGTGGTTTTCCCATAATGGAGAGCAGGGACTCCAACCCACTGACAGAGGGAGCACATGCTTGGGGAATTTGCAAAGCATCTTATGCACCATCACAAAGTAAATTAAAGTGATGATGAGATAACAGATTACAGAAGTTCAAAACAAACTCCTCAAATTCTATTTTGGCTGCGCCTACAAATCACCGACGTTTTCAACTCCCAGAAGAAGTCAGAGGACCAGCCACAGAGCTCAGGGAAGCTCTCGGGGGAATCAGAGGGGACTTGGCTCATCCTGACCTCCTCCTTGGAAACCCCAGTGCACCTAGCTCCCACGCTGTGCTAAGCAGCAGGGGCTTCAGAACCACACAATTGTGTGAGTAGGAAATAGGGAAGCAAACTGGTAGCCAAAAAAGCAAATTCATGAAGTTTTCAGCATTCCACGTAATTGGGTTTTTTTTTTTTGATGCATAGATTTCCTTTCTCTGGGTCACTACTCCCATCCTTTGTGGGTTCTTAAAGAGTTGCCTATACTCAGTTCATTGCAGCCAGTACTGACTTCACGTACCTTTGCACTGTTGAGTTGCAACACTGTTCTCTACACATCACACTGAGAAGAGGAACTCAATCTTGCACGTGTGGCCCCCATCCTCATGCTCCCACACACAGAAAATGAGGACCATGTATTCACAGTTGCATGTGGTTACGCACACAGCTTCCAGTCACCCAGGGCACCCAGCACAACTGTCATCATGAGCCACCTACAGACAAGAGCCACAGCCACCCAAGTCCCGGAGTCCACAGGGCACAGGTAATCACCCATCCCTTTCTCACTCACAG